GGGTGCACTTTTGCCATCACTCTCTGGTGCGCATCAAGGCAGACAGACAGACAGACAGACACACAGGCAGACAGACACACCGACCACACACACACCACACTGTCTGTGTGGCTGCCTGGCTGTGCATGCGATGTCCTCAGACGTGATCTTTGCTTTTGCCGGTCGTCTGCGAGTTTGGCAGCGGCAGTTCCCTGCCTTGTCAACGCTCACAGCGCCCATTGGTTGAGCTCGCTGCATGACCGGCACTGCCTGAGGACTTTCACGACAGACGTTCATTCATTAAATCGCTCTCGAGTCCCCACGCCTGAGTCAACCTGTGTTGATCTAGACCATCCCCTTCGGATGGTCTGAGCAGAGCACAAGAAAACCAACTACAGCCTCATCAGAACGCCTGCGATGCTGCCTGGCTTTTTGCTGCTGGCCCTTCCTCTCTGTTCTTCCTATCGCCCCTCGCTGCCTCTGCTTGCGCAATTCTTTGCTGATGAGCCACTGATGAGAGAGGACGTGCGTGTCGCCGCACAGTAGCGTACGAGTGGAGCAGTGCTGCTGATGCGGAGGGAGATGTGCCTGCCATCTCCACCCTGGCGCTGGGAGACGATAGCGTGCCCGTCACCAGCAGGGTTTTCCCGGATGTATATAGCCCGGACTCTGTCTATTCTTTGCCGTGCTCTTGATGATGTGGACTCTGAAGCGGACCTCTGTGTGATGCTGTTGGCATGAGGGCGAAATTAAGGCGAGATTCGAGGGCTCCGTCTGATCCTTCTGACCACGGTGTGTGTTCGGCAGACAGCAACTTCAACATGGGCGCAGCAAGACGGGCGGACCTTCGGCATCTCTATCGCTTTTTCTTGAGGTCGCTTTTCTCTGTTCGGAATTTTTTTGTGGACGACGTCGAGCTGACGACGACAACGACGACAGAAGGGGAAATCCTGATGCTCCTGCTGACGCTGTGTCAAGACGTGTGCAAAGTGAAGTACAAAAGCTTGCCTTTCTGCTGTGTTTTTGCTACATCTGCGGCTTGCCGTTGATTGTGAACAATTGCTTTTGCGTACATGCGCAGCTTTGCGCACACAGACATTCATCCTATGCACACACTCCAAGTCGACACGTGCGGCAGGGGTGAAGATAGTTCAGCATGCATGATTTCTATTGTGGTGTACCATTATGTCCGTCAATGTGGTATATCTCTGTGATACCCACACACTCTCTTGCTATGAATGTCCTGCAGGGCCACTCAGCCGGAAACCTAGTTGAAGCACATACTGATCTGCCCCGCCAAAAGGAACCTAAATGGGTATGTAATATATTTATTAGTTCCGCTTTTCTCGCGTAGTCATTCAGGCGGGTCCATATATGTCAGTCCACATTGGTTGGGTTGAGTAATGCATATGAGAATGCAAAGATGCAGCGACTTATTTGCTTTTTTCTTCCATGCCTACACGGCCAGGATCCTCTACCGTGGAAGTTACATGTATAGAGAGTAGTGCAATCTAGCCAAGAAATGCAACGCTTCCTTAACCCTTTATGTAGCACCTATTTAGAGGAATGCCTCTGTACGCGCACCTATGCAAGCACGCCTGGACTAGGGGGCATGCACGAACGATGACTGTCCATACACTTGTGCACGCACGCTTGGAGTTGGAGAGGGTGTATATGTAATGAGTATCTCTGTGCTCAGTTCCCTCACAGGTTTTGCTACCACTGGGGATCCCCAGAAGCGTTCACCAGCAGAGATCTCAAAGGTCTTCACCTTGACGGAAGCGGTGCGCGTCCTCCGACGGGGATCGTTCTTCCCGGCGCTGGTGTGGGCTTTCCGCAGCCATGGCGGACCAAGTGAGTGTGACGCACGTCGGGGGGCAAGCCATTCAGCCAGGAATCGGCGGTCCTGACGCCTCACCTCTTCCCTCGGTTGTGTGTGCCGTGATGCAGGCATCCAACAAATCTGCCCGCAACACCGATGGCGGCGCTAGATGCTGCCAGAAAGACAACAGAGGGCCCATCCGTGACCTCAGTGCAGCTAGGGAGCAGTTGTTCGACCTCACAGCAGCTGCCGCGCTCCTCGGATCAAGGGGTAAGTGTTCATGCGCATCTCAGTGGTTGATGCCTTCGTTTGTCTGTTTGTCTGTCTGTCTGTCAGCCGTTGGGGTCTACAACATGGAGGTGCAGGGAGAGAAAGAGGTGGAGCGGGTTTTCAAGAGAGCCGCCAAGTGGCCTCACCTCGTCATCCCACGGGCGGTGGCGATGGCCGACGGCTATTACGTCAAGATCTTCTGCGGTCAGCCTCACCACTCATCCGCCCACACGGGCTCTCTCACTTTCTTTCCCTCGCTGTTTGTATATGTATGTCTGCAGATACCAGTCAGAAGTTCCTGGATTCGCTCAACAGGCACGTACCGCAAGTCTCCAACCCGACTGCGGCCTTGCCGCTGTCGACTGCCGGCGCAACTGTCGACACAAATTCAGGCCCGACACCATCGACACCACCGAGACCACCGACACCACCGACCCTACAGGGCGGTCATCGTGTTCCAGGTGTCGCAGCTAGTCAACGACTCACCCGCACACGCGCACTCTCACTCGTACACACTCTTTCTCCGTGTGTTTGCATGCCTCCTGGGCCACCCACGCCATCGGCGGCCCCACTGCTGACAGACCGCCCCATGTCGAGGGCGAGGAGGCCACCACCGCTACCACACACGAAGGACGCAGCGAGGGGCGTCTGTGTGCCACTGTCGGCCCGCTGAATAGATACATAGAAAGATGGATAGATAGATTAGATTCATGCCAGGGATGGACGGCTGATGAATGGGAGAGAAAGGGTCAATTGGGGGGATGTGTGTGTTGGCTGGCTAGAGCTACTGTAGTGTGATGTATATCTAGTGCGTGTGTAGACGCATGCGCATGGCGCACGGACCTGTGTGTGTATATGGGCGTTGAATTCTCACACACCACGGCACGAATCGGTCCATCCATCCAGCTGAGCAATGGTCCCTCCACCCCTTTCCCATCTACGTCTGTCTGTCGGCCGAGCTAGCTAGATGTACACTCCCGCACACGGGAAAATACGTCCGTGGACACATGAGTGCATATGCTGCTGCACTCCTCTGCACACCCTCAATCATCTGTGTCCATGTCCACCACCACCGCATCCTCTCCTCCTCTCCCCTTGTTGGTGCTCGCCACCGACACCTTGCCCTTGAGCCCCCCCACGCCCCTCAGGCTGCTGCCGTGCCTCCCGCCGCCCCCTTTGCGCTTGGACACAGATCGGCGGACCATGCGGTGCTCGCCGTCAGAGTCGTTGCTGCTGGTGTTGTTGAGTTTGGCCATGAGTGCCTTCATGTTGGCGGTGCGATTGCTGGGCGGCTGCGGAAAGTAGGCCATCGGGCGCAGGGAGCGGGGCTGATTGAGAAGACAGACAGACAGAATGCAGGAAGGTGTGTATGTGGGCATGTGCATGGATGGTGCGGTGGTGTGTTGTCGCGTCATTCACCTTTGTGCTGGTGTGCGTGTGTGGGGCAGCAGGTGGCGAGTCGAGGTTCATCAGACGGTGGGGCCTACACAAGCCAACAAAGCACATACCCATGCCCAGACACGTACCTACCTACTTACCCACCTACCGTTTGGGCGAGTTCTGGTGGTGCTGTTCTCCGTCGGAGGTGATGCCGTTGTCCACCCGCACCACCCCGACCACTCCCACAGTGCCGTCGACGTGCATCGGCTCACCGACAGGCAGATCGTCACACAGAGCACCCTCACACACACTCCCAACACCTGCAGACAGACATCCAGACATACATGTAGATGAGCTGACTGAGACATATCGGTGTGTCTGTTTGTGCTCTTGCTGCTCTTGCGATTGGCTGACCATCTTGCGCCGATCCCACGTCGGTCATTTGGTCGTCACCGTCGTCGGTATCGGGCGTCTTGAGCTTCCCCTCCACACCGTCGGCACCGCTGCACCACAAACCACACACAGAATGGATACATACCTGCCTCTCTGTTCACGGCAAGGCTTACTTGTCCTTCTTGTTGCGATTCTCTTTCCCTTTCGCTTTGCCCTTGCCCTTCCCCCGTCTGTTCAGCCGGACGCCCCTGCCGGTGTCTCGTGGGGTCTTGCTGATCGTCCGCTGCATCACCTCCCGGTAGGTCTCGCCCAGCGGCGGCTCGTCGTCATATCCGTCCCGCATCATGTCGGTTTGGGGGGGCATGTCGATCTGCGGCTGCGGCAGCTCGGCAGCTGAGGGGTCCAAGGGGGGGAGGGAGGGGGAGATCCGCACTCACCGAGGCCACGATGGGGCACACAACCGTGACTGACACACAGACAGAGAGAGGGGAGGAGAGAGAGAGATGGGATGTCTTCATGTGCATGTGTTTTCCATTTGTGTGCGTCATCTCTTGCCTGCCTGCCTCCTTCCCTCCCTCTGTGTCTTTTCCTTACTGTCGTCGATTTTGCCGCCCTGCTGCTTGAAGTTCCTGAGCCGGTGTGGCGGCAACTCCTCCCTGCCTTTGTCACAGAAGGGCGTGCGGAAGAAGGGGCACACACTCGACACGAACGCGGCGTGGCAGATCTTCTGCGCGTAGTCCGCTGGGCTGCCAGGGGCAGGTGTCTCGATGTGATCCATACGGGCGACAGCGTTGATGAGAGACGTGACCTCACTCTCGTAGGGGTTGTCAAACACACCGTCGGACGCTGCCAGGATGACGTCTCCCTCCTGCAGCGGGATGTCCGCTCGACGGACAAAGCGGTGGAGCCCCTCGAGGGTGCTGGGGGAGACTGCACCGAGACATACACACACATACACACACACACACATTCGCTCACTCACAGAATTGTGTGCGCGGTGCGTAAAGTGGCTTACAGAGCATTGGTTCGTCGAGGACTAAGTCATCGTCCTCATCGACGTCGTAGACCCTGGCGATCTGATAGGGAGTGTTGAACCTGAGTGAGGGCACCACACGCACATAGGAATTGTGCCCGCCCCACTGCCCCCATCCATCCACTGTTTGTGTGCTGCACGCTCTCTCTCTCTCCCACCGGCTGCAGCCGGCCGGCGAGAGGTAGATGAGGTTGTATCAGTCGTCACTGCCGTTGCCACGACGCCACACGCCGATGAGGGAGTCGCCACACACACACACGCTCAAGATGTTGGGATGAACCAACGCGCCAATCACTGCATCAAAGAACAGCAGAGAAAAGAACGACAGAGGGCTACGTGTGTGGATGTGTGGATGTGTGTGTGTGTGTGTGTGTGTCATCTACCGGCCATGGTGGCGCCCTTCTTGTCCGTCGACCGCGTCAGCATCTGCTCCCACCCTCCCTCCAACACCCTGACGACCACACAGCACACACACAACACACACGCAACACTCCAGGAATACCTTTTGCATGAGTGGTTTTCTCGTTTTGTGACTCACTTGAGTGCGCGATGAGCTGTGTTGCCGTCTATGTGCTGTGTTTCCGCCATGCAGTGCTGCGCCAGACACCGAGCAAACGCCTGAGAGTCACACGGACCTCTCACACCACCTAAACACACAAGCAACAAACAACACATTGCAACACCGACCGGAGCAGCCCCGTTGATTCATCTCACAGCCGCCCATGCAGTTTCTCCCATCCCCGTGTGTTGGCTGCTTACCGACGCCGTCGAAGACGCCCAGCCCATCACACCGTGCGAAGAATGCATCTTGACGGCTCCCATAGTCGTTTTTCGAGAGCTGCCGCGCCGCTGTGTTGAATTGGAGTCGTGTTTTCTTGACGGCGGGCGGCGGCGGCAGGGTGGGCGATGGGTCTGAGGGCTGGGCTGGCGAACTGGCATCAAGGTGGTGACGCTGCGCCTCGGATGAGGACGCGTTCACTGCACACTGTGGCATTCAGACGGAAGGCTATCTCACAGAGAGTGTGTGACGATGAATGCGGCTCTGCTGGAGCGAATGGCAGAACCAAAACCACGCCCGCCACCTTTCCCTGCGAGCTTTTGAGCTCTCTACATTCGACCGAAGAAGGCAGATCTGCCACAAATCATGATGGATGTGGTCTGGGAATGAAGCTATTAGTCATCTGTATCGTCTCATCATCGTTTCTATCAACGTCCGCACTCCCACCCCCGTCGCTGCGCCGCTCCTCCCTTCCCTCGCCAAGAACCATGACCGTCCCCGTGCGGCGCACCGCCCCGACCAAACAACCGCCCACGGCCACCCCTGTTCCAGCGGATGATCAGAAATGCTCCTCCCCACCGCCTCCCACGCCCACCGGGCAAGTTGCGGCTCACTACGTGATAGAGGCCTTCCGCCCCTGGTCGCTCAGCCCGACCTTGTGCACGTCTGCTCTGGGGGCTGCGGTGGCGTGGCGGTCGGAAGGCATGTTCAGCCTGCCGGTGTTTCTGCTGCAGTTGGCCGTGTGTGCGGCGCTGCAGAGCGTCGCCAACCTCCTCAACACCTACTTCGACCACAAGAAGGGCTTCGACACCAGGGAGCACAACGCCGACCCGACCCTCGTTGAGGACAGGCTCACTGTCATACAGGTGTGCTTCACTGGAGGAATGCATGAACACAACACGTGTCCGCAACACACATAGCCTGTCGGGTTGTCTGTCTGTGTGTGTGTGTCAGGTTCTCATACTGATGGCTGGCTCGTGGTTGGTCAGCGGCATTGCCGGCGTGCAGCTGGCCCGCCTGGCGCCGCCGGGAGTGGACCCGCTCACCCTGCTGCTCTTCATCGTCGGCGGGGCCTTCATCGCGTCCATCTATTCGGCCCCTCCTGGCCTCAAGTACATCGGCCTGGGCGACGTGGGTGTGTTCGCTGCCTGGAGCCTCCAGGCCCTCTTCTCGTTCTTCGTGCAGGTCAGTCAGCAGGGTCGGGACACACACAATCGGTGTGATATGGTTTGGGATGTGTTGGTGTGGTGTGTCAGACGGGCAAGTTATCGCTACTGCCTTTTTGGCGTGCACTGCCTCTCGTCCTGCACACGGTGGCCATCCTCCACGCCAACAACACACGGGACATCAAAAACGATCTCAGTAACGAGGCGCACACAAAACACACACCCCACACCCGTCACACGACTCCACACACCATCACACCCTCGTCGGGCTGTCTTGTGTTATGTTGTGTTGTGTGCAGATGCGGGCGGGAGGACGTTGGCGGCGGTGGTTGGCTTGGATGCGTCGGTGTGGCTGTACAAGGCGCTGGTGATCGTGCCTTACGGATTGGCGATGATCCGCGTGCTGATGACCAATCTCTGGTACGCCCTGCCACTCATCACCATGCCCATCGCCAAGGGACTCGTCAAAAGGTATCCAATCCATCCAGCCAGCCAGCCTGACTGACCTGGTGTCGTGTGTGTGTGTGTGTTGTGTTTAGGTTTGAGGGTCGTCACTTCAAGAGTGGTGTGGTGGAGGACACGGCCAAGATGCAGCTGCTGTTCGGCGCCCTCACGTGCATAGCCGAGGCCAACAAGCCCATGATACCCCTACACGCCCTCGTCATCGTCGTCATGAAGCAAATGGCCGAACGGATGGTCGACAAGCAGCAGCAGTAACGGCGGCCGATGTGTGTCACGTGTATGGGCTGGCTGGCTGCATGCGTCTGGGTGGAGGGGTCGTGTCGTGTGTATGGTTGTTTTTTCTCATGGAGCAGCCGATGCTCTTATCGCTCATGCCATGGTGAGAGGCATTGAGAGCTCTGTCAATCGAGACGAGCATGGTGTCGTGTGGGCGTGTGTGTCACTGCGGTCTTGCGTCTGCAAACAAGTAAGTGTGTGTGTGTGTGTGTGGTAGACACAGGATCTGTCTGTCTGTCTCTCTGTCTGTGTCTGATTTATAATGTGTGAATACGGTGATTTTTTGCCAGCTGCAATGTGGGATGAAAAGGACCTGAAACAGCTAATCGTTGCAATGAATGAGTCCCACGGGGCAAATTCTCCCATGCATCAAAGAAGTGCTCATCAACGCAGTCATTTCTGTACTGCTGATGTGCTCTTAGGAGAGTGCAACCAGCCGTTGCTTGAGTGAGGTGGAGGTGACTGACTTGATTGCGTCGAAGAGGGTGCCCGAGCTCGACAGCATCGGCAGTGCACTCCTGTGGTCACTTTGCCACCAGCCGACACATGGCCCGCTAGAAAACTTCATTCTTAAGCACAGGTCAGAACAACATATGATACCAACAAGATGGGTCAGTCAGATTCTCTTGTCGTTGCAGATCTGCCCTGGTGGAGAGGCGTGTGTCGGTGCTGCATTGTGTCGATCCCCTCACTGGCTCCCGGCAGTTCGTGAAAGTCACCATCCGCGACAAAGGCGACATATACCGAGCCCTGGAGGCCCCCAAGGCTGTCCACAAGCCGAAGTGAGCAGTGCACACACGACCTTTCACCCATCAGCTCATGACTCATTGTATCCTGCTGGCCGTTCCAGGTGGTTGGCTTGCCAACTCACGTCCTTCCTCTGCGCCAGTGGTGGAGTGCGCAACCTTACGTCGTCCGCGCTGCTGGTCAATTCCTTCAGGACATTCTGGGCCAACCTCAAAGCGGCATCACAACAACAGCAGGACGGCACAGTCAGCACGTCGATCCCGCTCTTCAGCGCACTCTGTTCGATCTCCTGCTGGCCCTTTCCCCTCCCATCGGTACATCCATGGACATCACTCCCCCCTTCTTGCTGGCGCCACTGAAGGCACTCATGCCGGACTGGGAAAAGCAAAGCGCCCCATTCCTGCGCCGCCTCCCGCATGCGGCTCACCACCGGCTATTTGCCTTGTCGTGGGCCCTGGATCTGCCCATGTGGATAGAGGCGTTTCGAGAGGTGGCTGAGGTGTCGTGTTCCAACGAGGCGCTCACAGAGCTGGCAGACAGCAAGACTCCGGCGGGCAATGTGAGAAAAGAGGACGCGGGGGGAGTGAGGTTCCCGAAGAAATAAATAAAGTGGTCGAGAAACCTGGAGCTCCCATCCAGCCATCTGCTTCCAATGCACACCGACAGAAGTGCTGGTAAGGAGAAACACACGTCACTGGGCAGAACGAGCCCCGTGATGTCGATCATCTGTTCGTTTCAGGGCTGTAATTGAGAGCATCCAATCGAATCTGGATTTGGAGAGTCAGTTACGGGCCGTGCAAATGTCGCCCGAGCTGCGGACGCACCTGGAGCACAGCATCGACGAGGCCCAGAAGCGGCAGGGCAGGATGCTGCAGAAGATCAGCACCGACCTTTACGAGAAGGCTTTCCACTTTATCTTTGAGGTGAGACGGATGGTGGATGCACAGCCGCTCCGCACCGGGCAGCTCGAGCTCCCGTGCCTTGTCCTGTGTGTGTACAGCTCATTCAGAACGCCGACGATAACCATTATGATGATGGTGTGACACCCAGTCTCCAGTTGACCCTTTCTCTGGACCGCATTCGGCTGTTCAACAACGAGAAGGGCTTCAACGAGAAGAACATTCGCGCCATCTGTGACGTCGGCTCATCGACCAAGTCGCGCAAGAGGGGCGAGAGTGGACTTATTGGGCGAAAGGGCATTGGCTTCAAGTCCGTCTTCAGTGTCAGCAACACGCCCCACATCTACTCGAACGAGTGAGTTTTCGCTATGGTTCGACGCAACGGACAAACGACTTGGATACATCCTGCCGCACCATGGTGAGTGGGGTAGGGCAGTGTGATAGAGTACCACATCCATATTTACGTCTCTTCAGGCCAAGACCCCGTTGTTGAGCCGTCAGATGGCGAGCTGCTTTTCGACATCTCTGTCGAGAGTGACAAGCGCCTCAAGGCCTCCGCCAATAGCTGGACGACGTTGATCGACCTGCCCTTCAAGGAACACACGCGCTACCAGCAATCCTTTCTCGAGAAATGCACCAAGGAGCTCGGCAACATCCACCCGCCCCTTCTGCTCTTTTTGAATCGTCTGCAGCGGCTGTCGATTGTCAACCGAGTCACGGCCGAAAGCCGGAGGCTGGTGCGCCAGGACCATGCCCAGCTGCTCACCTCATCGCTCTGCCTGAGTGTCGAGACCGACGCGGAAATCATTCGTCTGGTGGAGGATGACGAGAACCAGTGCTGGCTGGTGGTGCGGCACCAGGACTGGCTGGCCGTGCGGCAGCAGAGATTGCCCACTCTGACGGCGTGGCGGCTCAAGGGCGGAGAGCGGCTCAAGAGTGAGGATCAGAACGACAGTGACGATGGGGTGGAGCCTACCGTCATTCCGGTGGCGGTACCGCTCAAGGCTGACGGCGAAATGGACCACCAGCCGGTTTGTGCCTACTTGCCTCTCACCGCTCGGCCAATGAAGATGACGCTGCAGGCCGACTGGACCGTCACGAGCAGCCGAGAAACGGTGAAGGAGGACAATGTGTGGAACCTATGGCTCCGCGACGAGTTCGCATCACTGCTGGTCGACACCGTGGTCGTCCTCAAGAGCATCATGACCAGCGACAGTCCGGACATCCACCTGCCCCCCGACTTCCTCTTTCGCCTCCTGGCTCTCTTCCCCGACCTGTCCGTCGACAGGAGCAGTTGGTACCATCCAGTTGTCGAAGGTTTCCAGTCCCGACTCAAGAAGGGCATTGCGTGGGTACTGACGGCAGATGGCGAGTGGCACGAGCCCTCCAGCTGCTTGCTCGTGCCGTCGGGCAGCCTCGACGACCTGATGAGCATCATTCCCCCAGCCGATCTCTATGAGTCAATGCAGCTCAAGTACGTCCACCGCGCCATCGCCCAGCTGCTCGAGCGACAGGGCAATATCGACACAAGGGGACGCCAGCTGGGCATGGCTGTCGGCTCTGCATCGTTCTTCTTCAACTACCTCGTGAGACTTCACGAGGCGGGCAAGCTGGTGGAGAAGCCCATCGACTGGCTGGGCAAGGTCTTCCTCGTTCTCCACACCGCCACTACCGGCACGCGGCACAACACCAAGGAGAAAGCCAAGCACATGGAGCAGATGAAGGCGCTGCCACTCGTGCCCATCCGTGGAGGTGAAGGCATGGCGGCCAACGAATGTCAGCTCTTCCTGCCGCGATGGGAGGGTGAGTTTGATGTCGAGAGGTTCTCGCTGTGGCATAACTGTGGCGTGCATTGGTGTGCCGAGAGCCACCAGTCCCAGTACGCCTTCGAGCTTCAGATGCCCACTGTCGACCCGGCGTTGTGGGTGGGGCGGGACGACGATGAGAAGACGCGGATCGTTGAAGTGCTGGGACGGTAAGCAGGCAACAGCACGCGCATTGAAGCGACATGAGCGCGCTTTGTCTTCTGTGTGCTGTGGTACAGTTTTGGTGTGAAACACGCCACGGATGAGCTGTTGATCGCCTTCCTTGCGCAACACTTGAATGACGAGACGGACGCCCAAGTGACCATACGGCCAGGCAGACACGCCGACGAAGTGCATCTCATATTGGTCATGTGGTGGTGTGCAGGTGTGGGCCAGCGTCTCGTGCTATCTCCTGAACCTCGGTGGCCACAAGTTTCTTGCATCGCTACCAAATCGCGAGGCTGTCGAAAGCTTCTCGTGTCCCTTCGGCTCATCTGCACCTACGGCACTCTCAACCCACATGATGACCTGCCCGCCAGAATGAAGCCGATCCCCACTGACCAGCCCAACTCTTACGTCCGGCTGGTGCTGGCCAGTCCCCTTACACGCCTACTCACAGGGGGGCACCCTCAGAGAATGAGAGGCTCCCGAGGCACGAACTTCCCGGCCTCATCCCCCCAACGCCCCCTCTGATACAGCCAATGCCACCGGCCCTTCCTCCTGGGCCGCCGCAGACACGCAGAACCGAGCGAGCTAGGCACACTGACAGCCGCGCACGAATCCATTGCTCCACTCGGCCAGTGCCGTGCTTGTCCCACCCGCCCCTCTGGTTGATGAGCTCGGCCAAGCGACGGATGAAGCCGTCAGCCTCCCTCCCGTAGACGCCGTCACACGTCACGATGAATGCCGTGAAGTCCATGCGGTTGAGCCGACACACGTCAAGGTGGTGGTCTTTCTTGAGCTTCTCCCTCTCGCGGGTGATCGCGCCGGTGGTCTTGCCCTGGTTGCAGCGAGCGTGTGCGCACACCTTTGTGAGCATCTCTCTTGACGTCTATCGAGAGGCAGGTCGAGCGACGACAGATGCTTAGGGAATCCACACCTCCCTACACACAAGCAGGCACACAAAAGGTGAGCCTTCTGGCCTTAGATCGCTTATGTCTTACTTGATCACCACGACAGCATGGTCCTTCCTTGGTGCGCCGAGCGTTCTGGCAACGGGTGCTACCAAATACGCCGGCGCATGGGCAGCGAGTAAAGAGACACCTGTAGCAAGAGAGGGAGAGACTTGCAGAGCCAAGCATCCAACCGTGAGGGAGTTGCTTAGAACTTGATCTCCAAGAGTCAGTTGGCTATTTCGAGAGAGCACAATATGTCCACCTAAAGCATAACCTGCACAGAGAGAGAAACACGCATAGAGCCATGTATCATCTGGTTTATCTCTCCTACGAGTTGTCCGTTCTGTGTATTATAGAGCTGAAACTCTTCTGCTCTCTTTGACGTAAACATAGAACTCATCAATTGATTCGTCTCATGCCCCAGCTTTGCGCATCAAGTATCTGAGCGAGATCAACTAAGGAGATGAGCAAAGATAGCCAATACCTGCTGTTCTTTGTTGTTCTGTCCCTAAAGTTCTTCTGAGTCTTGAGCCAGGCTCTTAGGGCAAGGCGGCCGCCTTCTTCGGTATCCAGCCGGTTTCGGCCTTAGCATGGCCATTTGAGCTTCAAACTGCTGCAAGTCAATACACACAATATCAGATCCATCGGTGCTGTCCGTCCATCATGAAACCCGTCTTCTCTTTCGTCCTGTGCAAAATGCCTCGGCTTTCAGTCTTGAGGACGGAGAGACATACGAAATGGCCTTACTCTGTAGCATGTAGAGCCCTAGATTCCATTCCTCGCGAGTAACAACATACCAGTTCTGCTAGAGCCCTACTGCACTCGATGGCCACGAATAATGGATCGATTATCACACTCCGGTTACCTACTAGCAGGCAAAACCCGTGTGTGGCCACCGAGGGTGAAGTTGATCACTCCAGTCATCTCCTAATGCTTTCAAGCACCTGAAGCTGCAACAAATGGACGCTTAATGTGTGTATGATCGAATGGCTTTCACATTCATCCTATACACAGTGATATTGACGCCGTAGTTTTCCGGCTGGACGTCATCTGGCCCGCGAGCCTTCTGAGTGAGGAAGCCTTCTGAGCGAGGAAGACAAGGTCAGACTGATTGTCGAGGGACTTCATCGCCTGATACACGCAGGGATACAAGTCACAGTGCTTGTTCTTAGTTAAAATCGGCCACCGACTGGACGAATCGCTGGGTTTCTCGAGAAGCAGCACCTTCCTGACACGAAAAAGGAAACCATGCATGCTCCCAATGAGTGTGTCTCTCAAGCTGCATGGCTTGTGACTTTGCACGGTCCGGCCAGCTTGATTGTGGCCCTCCCAGGGAGATCGTCAGCTGATGGAATGTCTTTGTTGGGGTACGAGAATGATAATCCAGGGACCGGTGTTCTAGACCGATATAGGCAAGCGACAAAGACTGCAAGGAATCAGAAGGGCTTCCGAGCCTGCACGAGCTATCTCAGCCATCGAGCTGATTCTCTCTTCAGAAAGCGAGATATTTTGTCAAAGTCAGCCACACAGTCTCTTAGCGGAGTTGGATAGTCTCCTTGGCAAGCTGAAGGCTGTTGTCGAGGCGTGTCTTCTCCTCTGCTGAGCAATGATCGGCACAATAATTTTCCACCGATTCTAGAAAGCGATATTTGAATAACGTGTATGGCTGTCTCAGAAGAGGTGACACGTCCTTTCAAGTCGAAAAGGTCGGTCTTGTCGCCGAGAGAGAGTGTCCTCTCGGTTTGCTTCCGAGGGCGACTTCGCAGACATCAGGCTCAGAGGGGCTGAAGGGGCCGACGAGTGGTGTTTGCAGAGGTATCGCCAACGATGGCAGGGGTTTGTGAGACGTCTCTTGCCAGCATAGACAGGGGTCACTAATGATGCAGGAGAAGAGTTACCCTCTGTGCGTAGTTTGCTGCACGCATCCGAGGTACATTTTTCTGCGTGTGCTAGCTAAGCAAAGATGAAAGGGACAGAATAATGGACGGACTCGTAAGCAAGACACTTCCTTGCAGAGCAGGCCTTCTTTGAGACTCAGGACGTTTTGCGTGACGTCGCTCGTTTGTTTACACTCAAGTTTCGTATGTCAGGGCTTATGGGCTCCCCAAACGACATAACGAACGAAAGGGGAGGCGTTCACTCAAGCAGGCCTACAGCAAGCGAGCGAGCGAGAAAAGAAGAAACCCGTCCAACATACATACACACAGACGCAGAAAATCAGGCTATTTCCGGAGTGCATTTGTATGCAGGCAGGCAGGCAGCAAATTCACGAAAGGCTTATCCCCTTCCCGTCACCATCCTTCAACATGTCCCCGTGTGTTGTCGAGACTGTGCGGTGAGCGATGACTGACGGACTAATTGACAGCGTCCAAAAGCCCAGGTCCGCTCCAGCAGCTCATTCATGCCCGCTGAGGGCCCACGTGAGGCCACTTTGTGGGGAGGGGGCCCTGGGCAAAGTCACAACCCCATCATTCCAGATCGTGATCTACAAAGTCGCATTGAGCGCGCTACAGCCCCATGCAGCCCTTTGCGTGCCTCTCTTCCTTCTCGTCTTCTCTCTGGCGCTTCTCGATGGGCTTCTCGGCTCCTTACCGAACCTTATTCCTCGTGGGTGCCGTCAAGTCGTATCGATCAAGCGAGAGCCTCACTTGGACGTCCACCTAGAGGCCCACATCTCAGAGCCCGTACCGAGCCGGTTTCGTCGTGCACAATAGACTTATCTGGCGGTGCGTCTGCTGCACTTTGATCACTGCCCTCGCCCTCGAGACCTCCCTCACTGATCAAGTAACATCGCGAAGGGGCCTGATAGCAGGTTACAACCGAGACAGGGGAAGCTTCTGAGCTTGCCCGCTTGAGAGACACAGGCGGAACGCCTGCCTTGCAGCAAGACTCAATCTGGAGGTGTGCGACCCTGCAGAGGGCTAGCGGCCACTTCACTGAGGCCTCACTCCGCAACCTCCGAAGGTAGAAAGACGCGGGCCGAGTTAAGCCGTTGACGATCTCCATTTGGCATCAGCAGCCTGAGTACGTGGCCTTGCCACAGTCGCTCCGCTGTCATCCTTCGGGCCGGTGAGAGCTTTTACCCTGTAGACCCCACGCATATAGAGCGGAACCTTACCTTCGGGGCTTGTTGGGTATGCTATTCAATTAAAACAAAGTGTTGTTCTTTATCGTTCCTGTACACTGCAGATTACCTGGACGTGTCTCCGTAACTAGCGCTGTTTCAAGCTGATCAGGGTGACAAGGCCTGGGAACGCCGAAGTCTGCTAGGCAGTTGACATCCAAGGCATCTGAGAGAGCCCTCGACCTCAACTGGAAACCCTTACGCCTTACAAAACACCAAGAACCAGTACAAACGACAAAAATATACCTGCAGCGGCCATAATTCACGATGCAGTGAAAAGACACTCAGAGAAAAGGTGTTCATAAGCATGAAAAAGCGCCTTCGAGACCCCATAAACACACGAGCAGGCGAGTTGCTTGCCCATGGCAGCGCTTTCGTGGCGCACGAAGGTGAGTGAGAAAACGTCAGGCGACCTCACTTTATCGTCCATGTCAACACACTCGTGTGGGGCAATCGTAAGCGAGCCACAGATGGATCGTGATCAGAGGATCTAGCTTCCAAGTCAGGTGTGTTGACATGAATGATCTCGTACTCGCGCTTCGAGAAGGCCTCGTTAACCAGAATGTGGTCAAAGCTTGCGAATTGCTTCCGCGCTGAAGATGGTCGTGAAGCGCTCAGGAGGCTCAAGCTGGTCCGTGGTAAGGTTGATGAGACCGATGTCTGTGAGCATCCTGAGCGAGGAGGTAGAGAAGGTCTCGTCATAATCATTGAAGTCGCCCAAGACAACTATCTTGGCGTGAGGGTCCGCAGCGAGAATTCTCTTGACGAAGTCGGCATTGACGGCAGCTTGGGCATCACGCTTCTTTTGGCCACTGATGCAAAGGGGCTGTACCGAACCGAAGAGAGCACAGCTGCCGAGGCGAGAAATAAAGTGATTGACGATGACGAAGACGGTCTCTCCCTTGAATCGGAATTCACCCGCCAAGGGCTTGCGTGACTTCTGGAAGGCATCGTTGGTCGGGTCAATCCTACCGGGGCTCAACGTGAGCTGGATTGTGCCCCCTCTTCTGACCACATCAGTGCTGTCCTCAGGACCGGCTCTGCCGCGATCGACGAAGGTCACTCGATCGGGGTTTAACAGAAATGCGACTCGAATGTTGCCACCATCCTGACCTCCGTCCTGGTCGTTCAATGGGTCGATCTCGCGCCAACCGTATCTAGGTCCTCTTGCCTCAGCGATGGCCTCGACCAGTGCCTTGAGAGTTTCATCGGCTGACACCGTGCCATCGTCGATAGACCCACTGTTGTCCTGCACCTCTTGCAAGCCGATGATGTCTGGTGCTTGTAGGCTATATGCAATGACGCGGCCGAACTTCGTCAGCTGGGACCTATCAGAAGGGTCGAGGTTCAACACGTTGACGGTTGCCACCTGAATGAGTGGTAAGCACATCAGAAAGTCGATCTCCGTATGCATCGACATTCAGTACATGTCTCCATTTAACTCACCGTCAGAGCATCAGCCGTCCCTCTGAGGGTCGTCGTTAGTTTTGGTTGGAAAGTGGACGGGGTGATAACGGAAGGAGCCTCGGCAGGCAAGACCTCATAGTTGCCATAGTCATACGACAGTACACCAATCATGTCGCCGAGCTTGTCACCTAAGAGAGAGGCAGAAACACCATGAAAGGGAGACACGATCAACGTATGTCGCCCTCTCTTCATTCGAGCCCCCCCTCAAGCAAGAGTATCGGGTCTGCTTACCCATTTTCGGGTCCGGAAAATACGACCCACCGAGTCTGGAGATGCCGTCGTCAATCTGCATATGCTCGGGGTTGAAGTCGCCATCGCTGATAGTGATGCCACCGATCGAGTTAATGAAGGTAGCCTCTCGGCCACCATCAACAACTCCCAAATCTCTCCGTAGCGGGTTTTGGGACCCACGACGTGAAAGTCCTTGAGCTCGACACGCATACCCGAATGACAGAGGGAAGGGGAGAGGAAAGGAAGAAAGAGGCATTGTTATCCATGAACTCTGGACAAACATGTAATATCAGTACATGCATGTACACATTCATTTATGAGTATATGGATGTACACATACATGCATGCATACATACGCGTTTACGTACGATACTATCCCAGCGCTCCCGCCCACCATTCCTGCATACCTTCGAGCTTCTCGTAGAAGTCGATGCCGTCTGGGTCAATCTTGTCACTCGGAGGTCTGCCCATGACCACAGGCTTCGGGAGATCATTCCCCATGCTGACTACCTCAGGCTGGCCGGCAGGAAGCAGCTGCGTCCGAGACAAATCCCCCGAGCTCCTCACGTCCTCTTGGACCCTCGCCCGCAGACGGACTTCATCGCCCACCTCCAGCCCCTCGAGGAACCCATCGAGGAAGACAAAGATGCCGTCTGACGTCTCACTCCTGCCGTCTCCCTCCGGGTCTTGCATGTAGAACCCATCGCGAGCCAGGGACGTGACGATTCTCGTCGTCTCGACACGCATCCCTTCCAGCGTAGACTTCCGGCCGGACCCCTGGATATCATAGATCTTCTTCTCCAAGATGTCGACCTCTCCGAAAGATTGGCCCACATTGACTCTTCCGGGGCTCTCATCAGCTGGCCCTGCCCACATGAAGTCACTGGCCTCTCGTCCGATGCCGATCAGCTGGAGAGACTGACCGACAGGCGTCGTACCAGATTCTGAAACTCTGATGGCGGTGCTTGTCATGCCTTCAGCAGGTCCGTCCAGTGCCTCAAAGCTGCGTCCTCCATAACTCACAAACTGCTCCACATCTCCGTGAGAATTGACGAGCGCCAGACCGTCCGGTCCATTTTGAAGGCCAACCCCCTTAAACGCACGCACGCCAAAGCCGTTCAATTGGTCGGGAAGGACTTCATCGAGCTCAATTGTATCGTAGACCTGCCCATCGCGTCCGTTGTACAGCTTCACTGTCCAGCCAGCGAGATTGGTGCCAGCAAGGCCAGCGATCTCGACAAATTCACCCACGTCGACGCATTTATTATCGTAATGCACCTCATTGATGAAGACGGACTGTCCGGCACAGGGCGGGACGCAAGACACGAGCACAACAGCGACGGCGAGGGCGAGATTAAGCATCATAGCTGTGTGACGGCAGATGACGGGCTGCGCCAATACACAACAAGATGTAAGCAGGTGAGCGCCTCCGTCGCGCTGGAGCTGGCTCACCAAAAGCAAGCTTCAAACTTCTTCCTCACCTGAATGTGACGAGATCTGTTCGACACTTGTGCCGTATGAATGGGTTAGTTGCACCTACAGTTAGAGAATCCGCAGTGGCTCAGGGAACGAGTAGGAATGTGACGAAGCCCGAAGAAGCATTCAGTGACGATAGAGGTCTACATGGACACGCACGCTTGGGTCATTCACAAGCATCGTTGTATCCATGCCTCGTAGATCTCGTTGTGTAACTCGCCTATGCTCTAACTCCTACGAGCAACAGATGAGACCCGATGATGGCGAGTTCTAGAGTAGCGCGCGCCTCCCGTAGTGCAACCGGGCCTGACGTTTTTGCTGTGGCTCGCCCAGTGGGCAAGAAGCGTCCGATCAGGGTTTGCTGCTAGCCGTTTTTCAGTCAGTGAGGTTGGTTGGGAGAGATTCCCTTCCGTCGAAGCGCTCACCGCGCCCATTGGCTTTACTCACTGATGCGCTGACTCTGACTGCCTCGTGAATGATGGTTGGGAGCGTGCTTGAGATCGGAAGAGCCACCTCGAGATCTGCTGGAGCACACGTAACGGGACGGCAAATGACGTCTTGACTTGTCTTGACGTGTCCGAGCAGAA